GGGGGGACGGGGGGGAGGCTAACAGCAGCGAACAGTCCAGTAATCTGCAAAAAAAGTCTGCCTTTTTTTTCTCTCCTGAAAGAGTTTTCTTTCTGGGCTCAATATTAAACACTTTGCAGTCACACAGCCAGCAGTAAAAAGTACCCCATCTGGTCACCCAGCCAGGAGAGTGACTGCAACGGACTTCTCGGGCCTCACGTGAATGGAACAGATAATTTTCACCGTCGCATTATTGCGCCAAGTGACCACAAAGTGTCAAACAACTTGCAGACAAAATTAAATTGGGTTTTTTTCTGCGCCAGGGCTGGTTCGCTGATTTTGAACTCCAGCACAGAGGTGGAGGAGAATTATTGGACAGAAGGAAGAAAGTATACATAATTTGGGTACCGCCGTTGTGTGAAAAATGAAACAGTTTTTTTATCTCCTGAAAGATTTTTCTTTCTGGGCTCTAATTTAAACAACTTGCTGTGGGTGGTTGGTGGGTGCTCTGGTGTGGTTTGCCTCTTCTTTCCTATCAAACATCTATCATCTTTATTTCCCCTCCTTCTTTTTTATGTTTGTTACTCTCCTGTAACGCCTCTAATCTTCGGCACTTGTATGACCTTATTGTGTTGCAAGTGCCGTAAAACTCTTATTAAAACTATAAACGTAAAATACAACTTACAAGACAAAATTTTAATGTGAGGCGGCGTGGTGAAATCAGGCGCTCGTCACAATAATGAAAGTGAGGAGACTGGCTTTTTTCCGCAGGTTTGGGAATTTTTATCTAATTTTTTTTTTTTTTGCTTTACCCTTTTCATGTCCATTAAAGGACAAATTTTCTTGCGGATGTTACTGAAAAACATTAATTAAAGATGCAAAACATGTAAATTTCCAGTTTCCAAGAACACTCAAGATAGATGGGTATTTTTTCCACCCTGTGCTAGGCAAATTAACTAGCTTCGATGAAATACCAATAATTCTACATGCCCAAAAATTGACAAGCACCTGATTTCACCACGTCATAACGCAAATGTTTTCTCTCTCTGCGCCAGGTTCGGTTCGCTGATTCTGAACTCGAGCACAGAGGTGGAGGAGAACTCGACGGCCATGACGGAGACTCTGGTCCTGGAAGCCACGGAGCGAGTGCGCGGCCACATCTACCACTGTCACGTGTCCTACCCGGGCCTCAAGTCTGTGGAGTGTCTGGCCCTGCCCGCCATCCAGGTCTACAGTAAGTCTCATTCTTCTGCTCGGCAGATATGTCCATTTTCTGGATCATTCCAGAAGTCTAGTATCCAAAATAACCCAGAGATTCCAAATTGAAGGCGTTTTGTAATATATTTGAGTTCGCGTCCTCAGTTCTTTCTTGTCGTATCTCCATTTTTTTTTTACAGTGAAAACAGTTCATAACAAAGAGTGAGCTTAAGAAGAAGTCACATTTTCACTGTTAAAAAAATGGAGATACGACAAGAAAGTACTGAGGTCGCGTGTACGCTCATATTGAACTCATTTAATAGCGAAACAGCTGTAAACTGAAATGAAATAAAATCCTCAATTTTTAATTCTATTTGAGAAACCTCTCTAAACTGAAGAAAATCCGGTGGTGTAGTGGTTAGGCACTTCATCGTCGTTCACAGAAGACTTAGATTCAATTTCCAAGTGGGAACACCTATATTGAGAAGAAAAAAAAAAGAAATGTCAATTTTCTGGATAAATCCATGTGTCCTACCCGAGCCTCAAGTCCGTGGATGGAGTGTCTGGCTCTGCCCGCCATCCAGGTCTACAGTAAGTCATTCTTGGACGCAGTAGAGGGGCTGATTTTCAGGATCAATCCGGAGGTCAAGATTTCCTAAATTTTCTGGATTTGTAAAATTTTCTGGATTTATAATACAGTGAGGTTTGCTTAAGCCAAACATGTTTAAGTAAAAAATAGTGGCATACTGAAAGGAAAGAAATCCCTTATATACTTTTTTATGTTTGAGTAGCCTGTCTAAAAGGAAAATCCGGCTAAACTGAAGAAAGTCCAGATGTGTAGCGGTTAGTGGTTTTGCTGTGGCAAACAGGAGACCCAAGTTCGATTCCCAAATGGGGAGAAATATAATTTTTTTTCTTCGAATATCTCGGTCTTTCTGAGGATAAGTTGTATCCCTGAAATAAAAACTCTCCCTGTGCCTCAGGTCCCGCCAAGGTGATGGCCGTTCACGCCTTCCCCGTGAGTCAGTACAACGACTTTCCCGAGGGCTCCAGTGTGTCGCTGCGATGTATTGGACGAGGGTACCCTGGTCAGTTCATGTTGTTGTTGTAGTTGCTGTTGTTGTTGTTGGGGTGATGTTGTGGTTTTTCTTGTTGTTGTGGTTGTGGTTGTTTTTGTTGTTGTTGTTGTTGTTGTTGTGGTGTTTTTATGGTTATGGTTGTTGTGGTTGTTGTTGTGTGGTTATTGTTTTTTGTTGTTGCTGGCGTTGTTGTTGTTGTTGTTGTTGTTGTTGTTGTTATTGTAAGGTGGTTAGGGGTGTTGTGGTTGTTGTTACAGTGGTTGTGGTTGTTATTGTGTGGTGGTTCTCATGGTTATGATTGTTGTGGTTGTTGTTATTGTTGTTGTTAAACATCTATCATCTTTTTTTTCTTTGTATGTTACGCTCTAGTAACACGTCAAATCTTCCGCTGTAATATGACCTATTTGTGTTGCAAGTGCTTTGAAACTTTTACTAAGACAACAAAGTATCGCTTTCAGCTTTGTGTTGACTGCTACTGTAAACTTAAAACTGCTGCTTTTTCTTTCCTCATCCCTACTATCGTCATTTTCCCTCTACTTCTTTTGTATGTTTGTCACGCTCTTGTGAACTGCTATTTCCGAGGTGCATTGATAGTCAGAGTCAAAGCAGACTTTGTGCTGTTGAAGCTAGAGAGGTGAGCAGAGTAAGCCTGATTCCCCATTTGTACTTTTCTGTTGACATCCACCCCCCTTCACGCTCATATGACCTTTGCAGTTGCGAGCACCGTAAACCCTTACTAGAAATAAAGACTGATAATAAGCTAAACTGTGTTGATAGGAGTGTAAAGCGCTTTCAGTTATGACAATCCCGAGTCTGTCTTGTTCCATCCAGTGCCCACCCATTCCTGGTAGAGAGGCTTTCTGTGAACAACCAACTGCAGATTGAGAAGTTTACCGAGGCGAAGATGGGGACACATTCCTTTATGTATCTACCCAAGCAGTCGCAATGTTGGCTTTTGTAGACTTAAAATACCAGCTTACTCAT